CAAACACAAGGAGTTATTGCATCCTTAAGTCCTTATCATGCAAAGCTTGTGGGAGAAAGTTATTTGGGGAAGAAAAGACCAGTTTATGAATGCACAGATGTGCAGGTGTGCTTTTCTGCTTAGATTTATCGTTTCATTATTATATGTCTGCCTCCCCTCCCCTTTCACCTCCGTTTTCTACTTGTTACTTGCATTAAAAGCTTTATGCAGAAATATATCGAGCTTGTGCAGTATACATGGCTATAACTCATGAACTAAAGTTGATTAGTTATGTTGCAACTACATGTTGAATTTCTATATTGAAATAGATCTCCTGTTTCCGGTGTTCTTGTATTAATTATTTGTATTGAAATACAATTATGAACAAAATATGTTGAAGTATGAAGGAGCTCTGCACTGTGGTTTTCTGGAGTTATTGAGTTGACCCCTTGTTAGTAAAGTGAATTCGCATTTTAGTCTAATTTTAGAAATATCAATTTTCAAAACAGTTAGCATCACTCAACTTCTATTGTTTCATTTTTGAGCACTAAGCCAGAAGTTAGGCTATTATTTACTCATCTTTGTACTTCCCAATCATTTGTTATTGTTCTTCAATTGCTTCTCCCCTCTGTTCAAGAAAAGATGGTTAACTGCCATCATTATATTCATTATCAAAACTTGATTGTTTGATACTGATTCTGGTAGTCACAAAAATTAATTGGAGCATAAATGGGACCTTTTTGATCAAATTTGACTTTGGCTCATGGTCTGGCATGCAACATAAGTTTTAGACAATCACATTCCTGATAGGGTACATGTCAGTGGTATTTTTCTTTTAGTATTTGAGGTTTGTTTTCATTTTCTCTTTCAATATCAATCCCACATTATGCATTGGGAGGACATGTCTACTATTGGGGAATGGTGTATATGTTTCTGGCATGTTTGATGTTTCCAACCATCTTGGTTCTGTGGGAACATTCCCAGACCTGTGAATCATCGATCTGTCACTTTGATACATGTTCTGTTTCTTGTCTATAGTTTACTTGATGTTGTTAGTAATTTGTGGGCTGTTATTTCGTGTTTTGTTGAGTGGTTGTTTTTAGTGTTGATATGTGTAGATTGAAGCTGCAAAGGGTTTTCTAGCAGTGTTAAGATCTATTTGGATTCACTTTGCTCTAATCTTCGCTCGCATACAATTACAAATGTACAATCAAATAATGATAAGGTTTGTATTACTTCCAAATTATAATGTTTTATAGAACAATGTTTGACTGCTTGTACCAGTTATGAAATATTTTACATCTGTAAATTGAGGGTCTTCGATTCTCTTTTAGTATCTATCTAAAAAAAGTTATTTAACTCGGTGAACAAGTTGGTGAAATATGATAGATTCTGTCAGTAGAACCATATTATTTCTTTTCAGATGTATAGCTGGATATCATGTAGAAAAAGGTATAGTAAATTATGTAAATGAATGACACATTCAATTGAGCTAAGTCCAAAAAATTTTGAGGCCATTATTTGGTGCTCTAGAAAGAGCCTTTGCTGCCTATCAGGTGCAAGGTTAATCTTAGACCAAACTTAATGTAGAAATTGTGGAAGTTAAAACATTATACATTTTACTCCTTGCAGGGGTTGGAAACAGGTTTTGTTTAGAAAAGGTCATTGGTTTCAAGTCCTTTCTGTTAGTTGGTCAAATAGCTCTTATGCCTTATTCTCTACCTTCTGGTGGGGAAGTACATTGCTTGAGGCACAGACAGTATTATATATTCTCTGAACTTAATGTATTATTCTGCATGGTTACATTTTATTGTTAAATATGAAATGAAAATTGTATTGCTGTAAACCTGATCCCAGAATCTTCCTCTTGTAGGTGTCATTGCTTTTAAAGGAGAGTTCATCGACTCATACCTAGTCGTGAACGACCATTTATGAAGGTCAGGTTCTTTGAGCGTCCAACATATTTCCCATTGATTTTCTTCAGTAGTTATAACTTTCTGTGTCGTATACATGGACTAGTATAACATTTTCTTGATGACAATTGGTATTGTTGTACTATCAAGTACTGTGATGTTACTCATGACAGTTGCTTCAGTTAACTGCATTTGAACCTCAATAGTGATTTTGTCTATTCAAATCAATCTTGTTAGTGTAACCTTGTCTTGTTTTCGGAAGCAAGTGCATTAATGACTTCAATACTAAATTTAATACTGTTTGGATTAGTGGAGCCAGAGAATCTGACTGATTTTTTTCCTCTTTTTTTTTTTCTGATTTCTTTATGCCAAGCAGCTTTTTGTGGACACACAGTTTTCTCTGTACATACGGATCTTGTTCTCTCATTTATCAGAAGCAATAGTGCTGTTATGCAAATGGCCTCAATTGTATTTTTGTGCAACTTGAACGCAAGTTCAGATATGTATGAACTGTTTATTTATATTAGTTAGATTTTAGTGTAGTTCAAAGTTGCTATTTCTTATGATTTAATAGCAGAAAGTGTAAATAAAAACAAAATCTCCTGCTTTATCAAACACACTGAATAGTTTTCATGAATTTGTCAGCTTTATTCCAAAATGAGTATACAAAATTTATTAAGATAAACCATTTTTGAGGTTTACGTTGTTATCCTAGATGTTGTATTACATTGTGCACTCTATTCATATAAGCAGTAATCGTTGTCAATTTAAGATTGGATTGACAGCACATTTATCTTCGTTATTTGTGTGTTAAGTTCTGTTCAAACCCGATTCATCGGTTTAATCGTCGAAGACCAAGACTTGGGGCCTTCTCTGGGCCAGGTTACCACTGGCAACTATTATCAAAATCCTTAACCTGATCTCGAAGAAGGAGTTATCAAGTGTTGCATTAGAGTGGTTTGTAAGTGAAGGTGGTGGTTAAAGGGTGGTCTTGGATTGAATTTGGGATATGGAATCAATCGTAATTTGGTCAAAAAAATCAAGGTGTGTGAGCACGACGACAGATGGGAGGCTATCAAGTGTCAAGTTAGAGGATTTTTAGAATGGACTGGTGGTTAAGGTGGTGGTTGTTAGATTGAATTTTGGTCGTTGAGAATCAACCAAATTTGCGGGGAGAAATCAAGGTATCACAAGTCGCGACGTTGAATGGGGGATATCAAGTCAGGGTTTAGGGGTTTTGTAGAGTAGAGGTGGTGTTTTAGGTGGTAGTGTTGAATTGAATTTTGGTTGGCAAATCAGTTGGAAAAGCGAAAACCTAACTATGGAGGAGTGTATTTGCTAAATTTTAAACTTTAGGGACTTATATATTTTTTGAGGTATGTTTGTTAATTTAAACTTTATGGATCACCAGACACCAGTTAGGACAGTGATTAAAACCGGTCACGTGAGACACACCCCTTGGCTAGGTGACACCTTGGGTCCGGGTTGCAAGCAAGTTTTAATACCAATCCGAGGTGAAACCTGGTTAAGGATCGGGTCTCTAGTGGGCAGTTGAACCAGTTGACCACGTCAGCATGATTAGCCTTAAAAATTAATGAATTCTTTCTCTGGTTTCATCGACCTGAACCTGACTGTGCTTGAAAGACTGAACTAGGTGTTGCTTCATCTTCTTCCTTATAATCCAACTCCCTCACAATAAAACAAACAATACAAAACAATGTTTTAAATGTTTTAATACCATGCTAACAAATGGCAGCAAAAAACCCAAATCGCAATTTGTCCACTAAATCGCAAAAAAACAGCACCTACACATTTTAAATCGCAAAAACCCAGCCACCTACTCATTCCAGTAAAAAAACCAGCAACCTGTCCATTCAAATCGCAAAATCGAACCCCAAATCGAAAAAACCAACAGCCTCTCATTCAATCGAAAAAAAACCAACAACCTTCTTCATTCAAATCGCAGAGTGACCCAATCGAAAAAACTAACAGCGCTAATTGAAAATGAATCCCAAAAACAAATCATATATAACTAAAATTATCAAACACTCTGAAGATGAATGAGAGAAATCGACAGTGGAGAGAGAAAATATGGGTAGGGCTCGTTAGAAATGAAAAAAAAGGGCAAAAGAAATCGATTTGGGAATTAACGACATTGACTCGTTTTGACCGTAACTGGTGGATCAGCAGTTTGATACAGTAACCCTGGTCAAGACCAGGTGAATCATATCCTCGGTTTTTATGTTAGCCCGGCTCTGCTTAGTGGCTGTGACCGATCGAGCCGGTTGACTGGACGGGCCGGGACGGTTTTAAAATTGGTTACTAAGTATTGACAGATGGGAAAGACTGATGAAGTTCCATGTTTTGCCTTAAAAGTTAGGGGTAACGACTTACACCTACCGAATTTGCTTTAAACTTTAAAGATAAATTGGTATCAAAAGGTTTTGAAAGATAAATACCCACTTTCCGTTCATATCAGTTAGTAAATCTGTAACTAAAATGGTATATCGACATTTTATCATTTTTACGGGGGATAGTTTTAAATTTTTTGTGTTTAAGGTTTGTGCATACAAAAAAAAAGTTAAAAAAATGCATTAATAAAATATTAAAAAAATCTGCCCAATCCTATTCTTCGTTTCTTCTCCCCTTTCTCTTCTCTTTATTCTCTTTCTCTTTTTCCCTTCTTGCCTCTTTTCCTCCGGTCATAGGCAAGAACCCCGCAACGAAATATGGCCAGATCGAAAGCCCTCTCGTCTGTCTCTTCCCGTCTCATCTTCTTCACCTCTCTCATAAAAGGGCAAAAACATGGGGTCTTTTGCAAAGCTATCGCACTTCCCCACCCATTTTCCGGAAGCCCCGTCACCGAAACCTTCCTCTCCCGCCAATCTTCTTTTAGTGTGCCCTCTCCAGAACCCCCATATTCCCGTCGTCGTTTGCACCATTTCACCGGCCATTGATTCCTAGGGTTTTTGTTGTTTGTGGAATTGGGATTGATTCGTGTTTTTCGGAGTTTTTGATGAGAAATTGATGGTTGGAGATAATTGGGAGTGTTTTTTTTTTTTTGTGTTTTTGTTTGATTTTGGGGATTTTTGATCGGTTTTGGCATTGATGATTGATTTTCGAAGTTTTGGCACACCATTTTTTGAGGTTTTGGCCCCAAACCTTCTGGGCCTTGCGGTTTTGTTCTTTGAGTGTTTGAGAGTGATTCTTTGGGATTTTGCATTGAATCCTTTTGGTGATTTGAGTGAGGTTTTTTTGGGGGCTTTGGTCGTTTTGCTGCTGGTCGTCCTGTGGTTCTGGCGAGAGATGAAGAAGATGAAGACAAGATTTTAATTAAAATATTATAAAAATAAAAATAATAAAATTGAGAAGAAATATATTTATAAAATTAATATTAAAGAGAAAAATTGGGGAGAATGTTATATTTTTTTGTTTATTGGATATAAAATTACCATATTATCGTTTTTTAAACTAACTTACTAACAGATTTGGACGGAAGTTAGATAATTGACAAACTTTTGTTCGCCAAAAGATTATGACATCTGTTGTAATGGTTTAAAAAAAAGTAGAAAATATTTATATAGTGAAAAGGTTAAAGAAAGCAAAGGCCAGAAAATATTTATATAGTGAAAAGGTAAAGAAAGCAAAGGCAGTGGTGGCAAATGGAAAAGGGCAGAACGACATATTCCCGCCCAAGTTCGGCGAAACACACTTGTCTATCCGTCAAGTTTTAAAACGATACTTTTTTGCCATCATATTTTCCTGTTAAGAAAATCCATTTTAGAGAAGAGTAGGATGGTCCATTTACATAAATCGCAAAAACAAAATTTAAAAATTAATCTGAACCGTGTAACTTTTCACTTTTTCTTTCTTTCCTTTCCTTATTTCTTATCTTTTTTTTTTTTTTTTTTTTTTTTTGATTATCTCTGCCTTCTACGCTGAAGGCTGCAACACCGGCGTAACCTGCAACTGCCAACTGGGTTGGCAATGTCACAAACCTTGAGCCACGCGACTTCTCTCTCTTCAATGCCTCTTCTTCATGCCATAGTTCATCCCCAATACTCTAATGACCGATTGAACTGTGACAAGTCTTTATATTTTGCATGAAACTTGAAGGACTCATAATGAAGCAATGCATCAAATCCATGGCTTGGGCCAGATTATTTTTCTCCTCTATAACACGGGGTTGGGCCGAGACAAGAACAGTTTCATTTTTCTTTTTCATAGGTTTCAGTAATGGGTTTTGATTTTTTTTTTTCTTCTCTTGTGTTTATTATGACTATAATTGTTTTAGTGAGATGTAAGATGAATTTGATTATGGAGTTGAGATGTAGGATGAATTTTGAATGCGGTGTAAGAGGGGGGAGATTTCAATTGTGTTTGAATAATGGGAGGTGATTGGATCTGGATGAATTTGGGTTAGAGTTTGAATTAATGGGAGTTGAAGTTTTTCAAATCTGGTTGAATGAAAGACTGCTGGTCAGTCATTCTCGAATGTACGTGCATCCCCTTAAGCATATGAAAAGAGCGCAATTCCGATTTTACCAAACTTCTCCTTCATAGGCAACTTTCACTTAATCTTTTAAGATGCAATTTTGTACAATCTTTTTTCTAAGATTTTTGGAAATCTGTTTTGGAAGATTTCTGTAAACTTTGTTGCAATAAAGAGTTAAGTTTAATTTTTTATTAATTTGATACTAATTAATTTTGAAGTTGTTTTAATAATGGGGGCTGTATGGATTAATTTAAAGTTAATGAGAAAATGAAGATTATTTTGAATTGATTTTAGAGATTATTAATAAAGGTAAAAAAGACATTTCATTGGTTAGTCAAATTTTAATAAAATAAAAAATAGTAAGTCAATAAATTACAGTGATATAGTTACATATGTTCACAGAACATTCATTGGTTTGAAACTTTACGGAAGAAAAATGTTGTTTCGCCAAACCTGTGGGAAAAAATCGGTCTCCAAAGTAAAGTAATGAAATGGTTGGTGGGATGTGAATCTGGTACGTTATAATGGACAGATGCCTACCTGCTTCAGTGATGCTTTCGCAGTGACCATAATTATTTGCTTCGCCTTGGATGAATAAGCGACATATTCCCACCAAGGTTTGACGAAAACCTAGTTAGTACCCCATTTACATTATTTCAATCCTCACCCTTAAATAACAGTTAGTTATTTTAGGGTTTAGAGGGTGTAATTACCATGATGCCCTTAACCCTAAATTAATAATTATGTTTTAACCCCTAAATTAGTAGAATATAAACTTAACCATTTTATTTTCAAATTATGTCAAAAACACTACGGTCACTATACACTCATGTCGAAAAACAGCTCGATCTGGGCATGTTTTTTTATGGCGTCGAACCCCTGGTCACCTCCATCACCTTCTCCTAGTCCGTCGTCAAACCCTCTAGTTCTCAACTCATTGGCCCTCCAATCGTCGGGCGGTTAGGCTTAGGGTTCGGTGGTGGGTTTTTCTTTTCACTGGATTCTGGTCGATTCTGGCGTGTGAAAAAATCAATTGGACCACCACCACTGCAAACCATCTATGTCTCAGTTTTGGATAATTTTTCATGAATATTGATCTCCCCTGATTCTAGGTTTTCATTGCATTGAATTCTTGCTATGATTGTTCATGGCTGTAGTCTACTATAATTATCAGGACAAACATGTCTAAATTTGTGGCATTGCTGTTTTGAGGAGGCAAATTTATCAAGTATAACGATGCTTGCATATGAGAGATGCATCTATGATATGTGAAACTCATCCTCTTGTCATAGAGATGTCACTTAACATTAGTTTTTGCCTCAGTACGTATTGCCTTTAACTTGGATTAGTAATGAAGTGTTTTATTCCTTTACAATTTAGTCAAAATGACAAAGATGCTGCATATGCTTAATACATGTCTGTGCTGATCAGATCGAATGGTGTTCTGTTTTGTTATGTTGGACTAATTTGAATGTGTTTTCCTGTATTGATTTTTCATTGGACCTACGTAAAGGGCTAAACATAGTTCTTATTTCTTTCTCACTTTGCAGGTGTTAACAATGTTTGCAGCAGCCTTGCTGGAGAAACAAATCATTGTTGTTTGTTCTAATTTGGTAATTATCTCTCAGAGTTGATGATGGTTATGCATGGGGATTGCAGTCCACTCCATATAGATTCTCTTTATATCTAAATCTTGTTGGGGGAACATATGAAATTTGTTTTTTCCAACTTAAATATGGTTCATCTTACCCTGAAAGCTCCTTGGACCAAGCAGCTCCTGTTGGCTAGTTACACCAATTGATCTGAATTGTTTGTTGGTTTGGTTGGTGTGGGATTTTTCAATACCTGTGTACTTTAGTACTTGGATTGTAAAAGATGGTTTAGTTGGGTCCAAAAATTTTAACTGGGTTTGGTTCATAATTTATCCAAGGCAGATTCCTTCTGTCCAGAACCTTCAGAAATTTTAGTCCAATACTTTGGATCTTTTGTTGTATTTTTCATTTATCCATCTTAATGCTGAACAGTGAATAGAGAAAATCAGTGGACTTATATTGGTTTTCTTATTCTTGGGTACAGGGAATCTTATCTGCGTCAGTTTTGTCTATTATCCCTCTAATACGTCCCTACCAATGGCAAAGCCTGCTAATGCCAGTATGGTTTCCTTTTTTGACCTATCTCTTGTTTAGTGTTTCTTGACTGTTGCTTCATTATGATAATTTGGTGTATGGATTTACAGGTTTTGCCAAATGACATGCTGGACTTCCTTGATGCACCTGTTCCATACATAGTGAGTGTTCATCGTTTTAGTCGTGGTGATACTGATATTTTTAGATATGCATCTTTTAGATATGCGCTTTATGGATGCATTGGCATGTTCAAGTCACATAATTCCAAAGGAGACATTATTTATAGCTGTTTATGGTGGAAAAATCTAAACTCTGACATCGTTGCCATTGCGGTATCTTTACAAATTTTGCGGATGTTAATTTATCAGAAAGAAAATCTTAAGAAATTATCTTCCTCTAGTTTTTTTCCTAAGGAATAAGATAAATTTGGCAATGTGATGCTGTTATGGAGTTTGATTTGTAATGCGTTTCATGTTTAGGAACCATATTAATTTTCCTAGTTAGTACTATTTCTGACACCACATTGTCTAATAAAAGTAACTTTTGTAGGTTGGTGTAAAGAACAAAACCAGTGAAGTGCAGTCAAAGTTGACCAGTGCCATTCTGGTTGATGTGAACAAGAACCAGGTTTGCATCCTATTCTGCTGTTCCATTTGTTATTTGTTCCTATGACTCAATTAGATTCAGACTGGATGTTAGGCATGTTATTACCTTTGCACGTTACATTGATAAACCTGCTGGAGGATTTTATTTAGAATTTTTGGGATCTTCTTGATTTATATAAAGCACTAATATGTTCTGTAAGATTTATCTCAATATTTGCAATCGTTCATAGGATGATTTCATGGTTTACATTTAAAAATAATTTTGTTTTTCATCATTAATGTGCATTGGGAAAATATTTCAATGGCATCCTTTTTGTGGCTTTAGGGTTGGCAGGCCTCCATACTTATATTATTTACTTATCAATTTCTTCAGTGGGTGAATGGGAAAATCAAAAGCTTCAATTTTGTGAAATAATTGCAATCAATATTATGTTTGTGACCTTTTTGAACTATTCTGTTGAAGGAAAAAGAAAAGACCTTTCAACATTTGGAGTTTGATTAATAAATACAATTGTTATTATAGTATTTTATGTGCTGTATCTGTGGATTAAATCCTTTCCAGAAAGGATGCACTGGACCATGGATTGGGTCCTGGAAAGTATTGTTACTTCAAATTTACATATGTTGTGCACTTCTTAGAAGCTGAAGCCAATTGAATTTCATGCTTGTATGTGGCATCTTTTGATGTTGTTGTTATTGTTTTTTTGTTTTTTCCTGATGTTATGCTCTTTTTGTGTCTGTGGATATTTTTAATAATTGGATTGCTGGTGTAACAATGGTGTTTATCTGTTATATTTTCCCTTCTATGATGTAATAGGTAAAGGCACCATCAATACCACAATTACCACAACACAAGGAGTTATTTGCATCCTTAAGTCCTTATCATGCAAAGCTTGTGGGAGAAAGTTATTTGGGGAAGAAAAGACCAGTTTATGAATGCACAGATGTGCAGGTGTGCTTTTCTGCTTAGACTTTATCGTTTTCATTATTATATGTCTGCCTCCCCTTCCCCTTTCACCTCTCGTTTTCTACTTGTTACTTGCATTAAAAGCTTTATGCAGAAATATATCGAGTTCTTGTGCAGTATACATGGCTATAACTCATGAACTAAAAGTTGAATTAGTTATGTTGCAACTACATGTTGAATTTCTATATTTGAACTAGATCTCCTGTTTCCGGTGTTCTTTAGTATTAATTATTTGTATTGAAATACAATTATGAACAAAATCAGTGTTTGAAGTTATGAAGGGAGCTCTGCACTGTGGTTTTCTGGAGTTATTGAGTTGACCTCTTGTTAGTAAAAGTGAATTCGCATTTTATAGTCTAATTTTACGAAATATCAATTTTCAAAACAGTTAGCATCACTCAACTTCTATTTGTTATCATCTTTTGAGCACTATAGCCAAGAAGTTAGGCTATTATTTATCTCATCTTTGTACTTCCCAATCAATTTTTGTTATTGTTCTTCAATTGCTTCTCCCCTCTGTTCTAAGAAAAGATGGTTAACTGCCCATCATAGTATATATTCATTATCAAAACTTGATCTGTTTGATACTGATTCTGGTAGTCCACAAAAATTTAATTGGAGCATAAATGGGACCTTTTTGATCAAATTTGACTTTGGCTCATGGTCCTGGCATGCAACATTAAGTTTTTAGACAATCACATTCCTGATAGGGTACATAGTCAGTGGTATTTTTCTTTTACGTATTTGAGGTTTGTTTTCATTTTTCTCTTTCAATATCACATCCCACATTATGCATTGGGAAGGACATGTCTACTATTTAGGGAATGGATGTATATGTTTCTGGCATGTTTGATGTTTCCAACCATCTTGGTTCTGTGGGAACATTCCCCAGACCTGTGAATCATTGATCTGTCACTTTGATACATGTTCTGTTTCTTGTCTACTAGTTTACTTGATGTTGTTAGTAATTTTGTGGCTCTGTTATTTCGTCGTTTTGTTGAGTGTTGTTTTTATGTGTTGATATGTGTAGATTGAAGCTGCAAAGGGTTTTCTAGCAGTGTTAAGATCTTATTTGGATTCACTTTGCTCTAATCTTCGCTCGCATACAATTACAAATGTACAATCAAATAATGATAAGGTTTGTATTACTTCCAAATTATAATGTTTTACGTAGAACAATGTTTGACTGCTTGTACCAAGTTATAAAATATTTTACATCTGTAACACTTGATGGGTCTTCGATTCTCTTTTAGTATCTATCTAAAAAAAGTTATTTAACTCGGTGGAACAAGTTGGTGAAATATGATACGATTCTGTCAGTAGAACCATATTATTTCTTTTCAGATGTATAGCTGTATATCATGTAGAAAAAGGTATAGTAAATTATGTAAATGAATGACACATTCAATTGAGCATAGTAGTCCAAAAAATCATTTGAGGCCATTATTTGGTGCTCTAGAAAGAGCCTTCTGCTGCCTATCAGGTGCAAGAGTTTAATCTTTAGACCCAACACTTAATGTAGAAATTGTGGAAGTTAAAACATTATACATTTTACTCCTTGCAGGGGATTGGATAACAGGTTTTTGTTTAAGAAAAGGTCATTGGTTTCAAGTCCTTTCTGTTTTAGTTGGTCAAATAGCTCTTATGCTCTTATTCTCTACCTTCTGGTAGGGGAAGTACATTGCTTGAGGCACAGACAGTATTATATATTAACTCTGAACTTAATGTATTATTCTGCATGTTTACATTTTATTGTTAAATATGAAATGAAAATTGTATTGCTGTAAACCTGATCCCAGAATCTTCCTCTTGTAGGTGTCATTGCTTTTAAAGGAGAGTTTCATCGACTCATACACTAGTCGTGAACGACCATTTATGAAGGTCAGTTTCTTTGAGCGTCCAACATATGTTTCCCATTGATTTTTCTTCAGTAGTTTATAACTTTCTGTGTCGTATCATGGACTAGTATAACATTTTTCATGATGACAATTTGGTATTATTGTACTTCAAAGTACTGTGATGTACTCATGACTGCTTGGTGGGTAGATTCAGGAAATTAGCTTAGGGTTACTTGGGACTGATCCTTTTGTTTAGCATCATATCATCATCTGTGTGGGTTAGAATATTAAAGAAAGAGGTTACCCATTATAAAGCTATATCCAGTTGCTTCAGTTAACTGCATTTGTAACCTCAATAGTGATTTATGTCTATTCAAATCATCTTGTTAGTGTAACCTTGTCTTGCTTTCGGAAGCAAGTGCATTAATGACTTTCCAATACTAAATAATTAATACTGTTTGGATTAGTTGGAGCCGAGAGAATTCTGACTGATTTTTTGTCCTCTTTTTTTTTTTTTCTGATTTCTTTATGCCAAGCAGCTTTTTGTGGACACACAGCTTTTCTCTGTACATACGGATCTTGTTCTCTCATTTATCCAGAAGCAATAGTGCTGTTATGCAACTATGGCCTCCAATTGTATTTTTGTTGCAACTTGAACGCAAGTTCAGATATGTATGAACTGTTTATTTATATTAGTTAGATTTTAGTGTAGTTCAAAGTTGCTATTTCTTATGATTAATAGCAGAAAGTGTAATAAAAACAAAATCTCACTGCTTTATCAAACACACTTGAATAGTTTTGATCATGAATTTTGTCAGCTTTATTCCTAAAATGAGTATACAAAATTTATTAAGATAAACCAATTTTTGAGGTTATCGTTGTATCCTAGATGTTGTATTACTTGTGCCACTCAATAAAGCTTAATCGTTGTCAATTTGATTGGATTGACAGCACATTTATCTTCGTTATTTGTGTGGTTACAAGTTCTGTTCTAAAGCCCGATTCGATCAGTTTAATCGGTCAGACTGAGAGTCTCAGACTTGGGGCCTTCTCTGGGCCAGGTTACCACTGGCAACTATTATCAAAATCCTTAACCTGATCATCAATGAATGAGCAGTTATCAAGTGTTGCGATTAGAGTGGATTTGTAGAGTGAAGGTCGGTGGTTAAAGGTGTGGTCTTGGATTGAATTTGGGATATCGGAATCAATCGTAATTTGGTCAAAAAAATCAAGGTATGTGTGAGTCACGACCGACAGATAGGGGGCTACCAAGTGTCAAGTTAGAGGGATTTTATAGAATGGAGACTGGTGGTTAAGGTGGTGGTGGTGTTAGATTGAATTTTGGTCGTTGGAATCAACCATAATTTGACGGGGAAAATCAAGGTATCACAAGTCGCGACCGTTGAATGGGGGATTATCAAGTGTCAGGGTTAAGGGGGTTTTGTAGAGTAGAGGTTGGTGGTTTAGGTGGTAGTGTTGAATTGAATTTTGGTTGTCAAAATCAGTTGGAAAAGCGAAAACCTAACTATGGCAGGAGTGTATTTGCTAAATTTTAAACTTGTAGGGACTGATATATACTTTTTAGAGGTATGTTTGTTAGATTTTTAAACTTTATGGATCACCAGACACCAGTTAGGACAGTGATTAAACCGGTCAACTTGAGACCCGACCCCTTGGCTAGGTGACACCTTGGGTCCGGGTTGCAAGCAATGTTTTAATACCCAATCCGAGGTGAAACCTGGTTAACGGATCGGGTCTCTAAGTTGGGCAGTTGAACCAGTGTGACTCACGTCAGCATGATTAGCCCTTAAAAATTAATGAATTCTTGTCTCTGGTTTCATCGACCTGAAGTCCTGAACTGTGTCTCTGAAAGACTGAACTAGCGGTTGCTTCATCTTCTTCCTTATAATCCAACTCCCTCACAATAAAACAAACAATACAAACCAATGTTTTAAATGTTTTAATACCATGCTAACCGAAACTGCAGCAAAAAACCCAAATCGCAATTTGTCCACTTAAATCGCAAAAAACTAGCAGCCTACACATTTCAAATCGCAAAAACCCAGCAACCTACTCCATTCCAGTAAAAAAAACCCAGCAACCTCGTCCATTCAAATCGCAAAATCGACCCAAATCGAAAAAACCAACAGCCTACTCCATTCAAATCGAAAAAAAACCAACAACCTTCTTCATTCAAATCGCAGAGTTGACCCAAATCGCAAAAACTAACAGCTGCTAATTGAAAATGAATCCCAAAAACAAATCATATATACCTAAAATTAATCAAACACTCTGAAGATGAAATGAAGAAATCGACAGTGGAAGAGAGAAAATATGGGCTAGGGCTCGTTAGAAATGAAAAAAAAGGGCAAAAGAAATCGATTTGGGAATTAACGACATTGACTCAGTTTTGACCGTAAACTGGTTGGATCAGCAGTTTGATACAGTAACCCTGGTCAAACCAGGTGAATTCATATCCTCGGTTTTTATGTTAGCCCGGCTCTGCTTAGTGGCTTGTGACCGATCGAGCCGGTTGAACTGGACGGGCCGGGACGGGTTTTAAAATCTTGGTTACTAAGTATTGACAGATGGGAAAGACTGATGAAGCTTTCCATGTTTTGCCTTAAAAGATTAGGGGTAACGACTTACACCTACCTGAATTTGCTTTAAACTTTAAAGATAAATTGGTATCAAAAGGTTTTGAAAGATAAATACCCACTTTCCGTTCATATCAGTTAGTAAATCTGTTAACTAAAATGGTATTATCGACATTTTATCATTTTTACGGGGGATAGTTTTAAATTTTTGTGTTTTAAGGTTTGTGCATACAAAAAAAAGTTAAAAAAATTGCATTAATAAAATATTAAAAAAATCTGCCCAAATCCCTTATTCTTCGTCTTCTTCTCCCCCTTTCTCTTTCTCTTTATCTCCTTTCTCTTTCTTCCCTTCCTTGTCCCTCTTTTTCCTCCGGTCACTAGGCAAGAACCCCGCACCGAAATATGGCCAGATCGAAAGCCTCTCTCGTCTGTCTCTTCCCGTCTTCATCTTCTTCACCTCTCTCATAAAAGGGCAAAAACATGGGGTCTTTTGCAAAGCTATCGCACTTCCCCACCCATTTTCCGGAAGCCCCGTCACCGAAAACCTTTCCTCTCCCCGCCAATCTTCTTTTAGGTGTGCCCTCTCCAGAACCCCCATATTCCCCGTCGTCGTTTGCTCACATTTCACCGTCCATTGAATTCCTAGGGTTTTTGTTGTTTGTTGAATTGGGATTGATTCGTGTTTTTCGGAGTTTTTGATGAGAAATTGATGGTTGGAGATTAATTGGGAGTGTTTTTTTTTTTTTTGTGTTTTTGTTTGATTTTTGGGGATTTTTGATCGGTTTTGGCATTGATGATTGATTTTCGAAGTTTTGGCACACCAATTGTTTGAGGTTTTGCCCCAAACCTTCTGTGCCTTGCGTGTTTTTGTTCTTTTGAGTGTTTGAGAGTGATTCTTTGGGATTTTTTGCATTGAATCTTTTGGTGATTTGAGTGAGGTTTTTTTGGGGCTTTGGTCGTTTTGCTGCTGGTCGTCCTGTGGTTCTGGCGAGAGATGAAGAAGATGAAGACAAGATTTTAATTAAAATTAATTATAAAAATAAAATAATTAAAATTGAGAAGAAATATATTTATAAAATTAATATTAAAGAGAAAAATTGGGGAGAATGTTATATTTTTTTGTTTATTGGATATAAAATTACCATATTATCGTTTTTTAAACTAACTTTACTAACAGATTTGGACGGAAGTTAGATAATTGACAAACTTTTCGTTCGGCCAAAAGATTATGACTATCTGTTGTAATGGTTTAAAAAAAGTAGAAAATATTTATATAGTGAAAAGGTAAAGAAAGCAAAGGCCAGAAAATATTTATATAGTGAAAAGGTAAAGAAAGCAAAGGCAGTGGTGGCAAATGGAAAAGGGCAGAACGACATATTCCCGCCCAAGGTTCGGCGAAACACACTTGTCTATCCGTCAAGTTTTAAAACGATACTTTTTTGCACCATCATTATTTTCCTGTTAAGAAAATCCATTTTAGAGAAGAGTAGGATGGTCCATTTACATAAATCGCAAAAATCAAAATTTAAAAATTAAATCTGAACCGTGTAACTTTTCACTTTTTCTTTTCTTTTCCTTTCCTTATTTTTTTCTTATCTTTTTTTTTTTTTTTTTTTTTTTTTTGCCATTATCTCTGCCTTCTACGCTGAAGGCTGCAACACCGGCGTAACCTGCAACTGCCAACTGGGTTGGCAATGTCACAACCTTGAGCCACGCGACTTCTCTCTTCTTCAATGCCTCTTCTTCATGCCATAGTTCATCCCCAATACTCTAATGACCGACTTTTGAACTGTGACAAGTCTTTATATTTTGCATGAAACTTGAAGGACTCATAATGAAGCAATGCATCAAATCCATGGCTTGGCCAGCATTATTTTTCTCCTCTATACATCACGTGGGTTGTTGCCGAGACAAGAACAGTTTCATTTTTCTTTTTCATAGGTTTCAGTAATGGGTTTGATTTTTTTTTTTTCTTCTCTTGTGTTTATTATGACTATAATTGTTTAGTTGAGATGTAAGATGAATTTGATTATGGAGTTGAGATGTAGGATGAATTTTGAATGCGGTGTTAAGATGGGGGATGAATTTCAATTGTGTTTGAATTAATGGGAGGTGATTGGATCTGGATGAATTTGGGTTAGAGTTTGAATTAATGGGAGTTGATAGTTTTTGCAAATCTTGGTTGAATGAAAGACTGCTGTAGTCATTCACTCGAATAGTACATGTGCATCCCCTTAAGCATATGTAAAAGAGCTGCAATTCCGATTTTACCAAACTTCTCCTTCATATGCAACTTTCACTTCATCTCTTTTAAGATGCAATTTTTTGTACAATCTTTTTTCTAAGATTTTTGTGAAATCTGTTTTGGAAGATTTCTGTAAACTTTGTTGCAATAAAGATTAAGTTTAATTTTTTTATTAATTTGATACTAATATTAATTGAAGTTGTTTTAATAATGGGGGCTTTATGGATTAATTTAAAGTTAATGATGAATAATGAAAGATTATTTTGAATATGTATTATTTAGATGATTATTAATAAAGGTAAAAAAGACATTTCATTGGTTAGTCAAATTTTAATAAATAATAAAATTAGTAAGTCAAATAAATTACAGTGATATAGTTACATATGTTCACAGAACATTTCATTGGTTTTGAAACTTTACGGAAGAAAAATGTTGTTTCGCCAAACCTGTGGGAAAAAATCGGTCTCCCAAAGTAAAAGTAATGAAATTAGGTTGGTGGGATGTTGAATCTGGTACGTATATAATGGACAGATGCCTACCTGCTTCAGTGATTGCTTTCAGCAGTGACAATAATTATTTTGCTTCGCCTTGGATGAATAAGCGACATATTCCCACCCAAGGTTTGACGAAAACCTAGTTAGTACCCCCAATTTACATTTATTTCAATCCTCACCCTTAAAATAACAGTGTTAGTTAATTTTTAGGGTTTAGAGGGTGTAATTACCATGATGCCCTTAACCCTAAATTAATAAATTATGTTTTAACCCCTAAATTAGTAGAATTATAAAACTTACCATTTTATTTTCAAATTATGTCAAAAACACTATCGGTCACTATACACTCATGTCGAAAACAGCTCGATCTGGGCTGTTTTTTATGGCGTCGAACCCCCTGGTCACCTCCATCACCTTCCTCCTAGTCCGTCGTCCAAAACCCCTCTAGTTCTCAACTCATTGGCCCCTCCAATCGTCGGCGCCGTTAGGCTTAGGGTTTCGGTGTTCTTCACTGGATTCTGGTCGATTCTGGCGGTGAAAATCCAATTGGACACCACCACTGCAACCATCGTCTCCAAATCTATAAAACCCCTATGTCCCTAGCAACCATTTCATCGCCATTTGCTGGTCGAGAGTTTGTGTTCATTGGCCTTTTTTGGTGAAGTGGTGGATGGAAAACGGTGAGTTGCCATGGCTAGGAAGGTTAGGGGTTTTGTAGGGGAGGATGCGGGGAGTCAAATGGCGGTGGTGGTTGGGGTTGTCGATGTTCAAAATAGCCAAAAACCGGCAAAAACCAATCCCATGTCATGGCTGCCATGGCCAGCGATCAGTAGGGTTCAAATGGTGGTGATAAGGGTGATTTTGGGTGGAAGAATCGTTGGAAAATGGTGAAAAATGTCGGGGATGCCATTTGCTAACGTGTGTCGGAGGACTGTTAGAGGCTGCGGTCTACTAATGTGCGTCTTCTATGTAAAATGACCAATTTACCCTTTTACCGTTACATCAAACATTTTTTCGTCACTTTAAGAGTGTAAATTGGAATAAATATAACCTGAGGTACCAACTTAGGATTCCGTCAAACCTTGGTGGGAATATGTCGTTTACTCAGCCTTGGATTGGCCTTTAACATGTGGTAACAAGTAAGTGGCATCTTTATTTATATTAATAGGTCCTACACAAGATCTAGAGCACTGAAATCTTACCCCGTCCGCATACATTTTAAAAGACGCACCACTCGGTTATGTATATGTCTACGCATATCAAGACAATAGAAAGAGTATGGTTTAGTTAAATTTTTTGGGTGGTCCTTGTCCAGTTGTTAATTTACTCTTATCATTGAATCTGCTGTTTAACTCTTGGTCTTTTTCCCATTGTGTCTCTTTACAACATCCTCTTTTGCAGGCTCTCTTCTTCACTAACAACAACCTTAGATTGCATTAATTTATTTGCAAGTTGTTTATCTGTAGGTGGGATGGTTTTTCTCATGTTTCAAAGCGTTCCCACTTAAGCAAATGCTTCATTTATCGAACCAATTTAATAAGGCACTCAAATTTGTAGGCACCTTTGAGGTAAAATGTTATTTAAGATGAGTTGTGTTGTATACATGTATATATATTTGGGAGGTTAATGGGAAAATTGAATTCCATTGAAGGGGGGCCCTATTAAAAATATATCTTACTACTTTATAAAGCAAAGTGAAGTGAAATAATGGAGTGGGAAAACAGTAGTTGGGGGAAATTTGGCCCTGGGGAGCTGTTCTGTTCTGTAGACTGTAATGGTCAAGTGGGATTGTACAAAGGAAAAAGGTTGTTCGCATGTGTTGGCAGGGGATAAGAACAGTAACAGTGCCAAAGAGTTCACTATACTTGTACAATTCCTGCCAAACTTAAAATACTTGAATAGTTTCAATATATTAAATGCAAACAAACAAACATTAAGTAGCTCTCTGTTCTTCTTTCTTTTTTTTACTCAATTACCCTTCCTCTTCCCTCTAATGCCTTTGACCAAAATCTGTACAAAACAAATCCAAAGCCATAGGTTCAGCATGTTATGATTTGGAAACAGTGTTTTCCACTCAACTTTCATTAATATTCTTCAATCTTTTTTTTCTGGTTTGGCTCAACTCAAACACATCTTGGACTCGAAATGTAAATCTGTAAAATGTAGACATCTTTGAACATCCTCCAAATGAGCAATGCTGATCACTTTATATTGTAAAAGACATGATTATGCGAATGGGTTGATGCAAACCAACACACGTTACTGTAATGTGTGGATATCACATATAACGTAACAGAACAAAGAAACAAAATGGGTAAATAAATATCTGTGATTAAAATAAAATAGAAGGGAAAAAAAGAGGAAGGGTTGCAGTCTTATCAGAACTCAAAATGGTACCTGGCACTAGACTAATAATATCTCTCACATCTCATTTTCTCAATTTCCTAAATTGAAAAAGGTCAAATAGTAAGTGGAGAGCACTGGGGTGGGTCTGAGTTAAAGGAACAGAAAAAAAAAAAAAAAAAAAAAAGTAAAAGAATTAAATGACAGTAAAAGAGTGTGACCGTACAATCTTCTCAGGAGCAGGTATTGGCTTTGTGATTGCGGTATTGCCTGATGGCTGATATTATAATAACATAACAATAAATAGTTTTCTCTTTACTCTTTGTTTTTATATTTTATTATTAATTTTACAGTCTTTTCAATCAACTCCCCCTTTAGGCTTTAGTTTATGGGTTTCCGTAGAGGTGTCAGAAACATCAGACAAGAGGTGCAGGACCAGAAGCTACAGACAGGTGCAGTCATAATATGAGCAGCTATCTCATCTGAATTCTGAAGGGAGAGAGAGAGAGAGAGAGAGAGAAATGTGCCAACACAGTAATCAGAACCGTTGGTTTTATGCATGTACAGAAGATTCTGCAGGCCAATGGTCCCTGAAATAAATATACCTACTCTACTCACACACTAAGGCCTCCCCTAGTATAGTGTGAGTAATGACCAGCCCTCAAACAAACACTACAAACACACACCCTGGTTTCCCCATTTTTCACTGAAAATATCTTTTCCTTCTTTCATTCCCACTAGTTTGTTTTCTTAAATCTTAACACCAAAGCAAGTTTTTTTTTTTTTTTTCTCTCTAAGTCTTGTTTCATCCTTCATTCATTCACAATGAGTATGAGTGGAAGAAACAGGTTTCCCTTCACTGCATCTCAGTGGCAAGAACTTGAACATCAAGCTCTAATCTTTAAGTATATGCTCTCAGGCATCCCTGTCCCTCCTGATCTCCTCTTCACCATCAAGAGAAGCTGCTTTGACCCTCCTCTCTCTACCAAGCTTTTCTCTCACCAACATCAACATGGTTAGTTAACTACAGCTTTAGAATGTTGTTTTTTTAATGGGTTATTTATTTTGTCCTTTTAATGAGGTTTGTGTTTTGTGGGTGCAGTTGGGTGGAACTGTTTTCAAATTGGTTTAGGAAGAAAAATAGACCCAGAGCCAGGGAGGTGTAGAAGAACTGATGGAAAGAAATGGAGGTGCTCAAAAGAAGCATACCCAGATTCAAAATACTGTGAGAGACACATGCATAGAGGCAAAAACCGTTCAAGAAAGCCTGTGGAAGTTACTTCAACACCACCTCAAACTAACCCATCGACACAGACCATCTCATCTATCACCAGAAACTCATCTCTTGTTAATCCATCTTCTGAAACTCTTCACCACCAACCCCAAATTCACTATCCTATTCCTTCTTTTAATAATTCCCATCTCACCACCCATCCCTTTCTGTATTCTTCAAAGCCTCCTGCTGTTGGTCTCTCGCCTCAGGAAAGTTTAAACTTGAACTCTGGTAACTTGGTTTTGGATTCTGGTTCTTTTTCCCAGACTGACTTCAGGTTTGTTTAAAAACAAGGTTAAAGATTTTTAGGCTTTTTGTTATGTTTTCTTTTCATTAACAAGTTGGGTCTTTGTTTTGTTGTGATCAAGAAGAAACAGGTATGTTTATGATCTTAAAGAGGAGCATGTTGATGAGCATGCTTTCTTCTCTGAACCATCAGGAACTATAAGGAGCTTTTCTGGTTCATCTATGGATGATTCTTGGCAACTTACTCCATTGACTATGAGTTCCTCCTCTTCTTCTTCTTCTAAACAGAGGGGTTGCTCTGGTCTTCAGAGTGATTACTCTTACTTGCAACTTCAAAGCCTCAGTGATCACAACCCAAAACAACAACATAAGCAACAAGATCAAAACTGCTACGTGTTGGGTAGTGATATAAAATGTGAACTGCCCATTAGATTGGATAGAGAACATGAAGAAGGACCCCAAAAGACTGTTCACCGATTCTTTGACGAATGGCCACCAAAAACCAGAGATTCATGGCTTGATTTAGATGATAAATCATCAAACAGTTCATCTGTTTCAACCACCAGGCTCTCAATTTCCATTCCTTCCGCACATGACTTTCCCATCTTCAATTCAAGAGCTCCATGATGGTAATTGAACAGTTCTTTGAAGTTGTTTAAATTGATTAACCATCGTTTATTCAGCAGTAAAAAACTCTTTCTCTACTTTCTGTTATTTTGCAGATGGTTGAATTATCGGTGGTGGGCTTGTGTATTTAAGGCCAACTATGCACTTTGTGAAGTTTACTCCCTGCTTGAGTTCTAGGGACTGTCGATGTTAGTTTCTTTTTTAGGCATTTCTGCTAAATTTGGTGAAGTTTCATTATGTGTTTTTTAATGAAGGATCCAATGTGACAGCTTGGTTGTTTCTGCTCCTTTCTACCTGACTTCATAAATAGATTATGCTTCATGATAGCCAAAAATCTGTTTATTGATGGCTAACATAACATATATATTGATATAAATCTTCAGGGATTCTCATGTTTGCTTTCAATGTATTGTCAAACCCTAAAAACTCAAGCTCTTGTTCAACTCATTATAATTATAACTGAGGGACCACACCAGTGTTGCCCAGGGATTCACTAATTTTTCACTAGACCCCTCTTGTATCCTTTAAACTCACCCAAAATGCAACCATAAATTGAGATATTTATCATTTTCTTACGGAATATACCTTTTTAAAGGTTTTGAATCATCATCAATATAAAAATATAAATAGATAATACTTGCAAGTAAATTTCTGAAATATAAAGAATCTCGAGAGGAAAAGAACAATATAAATTAAAAAACCTTTTAAGAATGATTTAAAATATGCTTTTGCAGTTTCATGAGGCAAGTCATAACTCATAGTAAAGACAATGCTTTGACGAAAATCTTCCAGGCCTTGTATATGATTTTATATATTAAAAAAAAGAGGCCCTCGTGCACGGTGAGAGTGTCCTTGAAGATAAGAAGATCACATGTCTTGAGAAAATTTGGTAATAATTTCAATGGGTTAGCTCAAGTTTCTTTACTTTTTGTGTGTATGTAGTATTGAAGTCTGTTGGTTAGTATTTCTCAACACGACCAAAGACTAAAGAATAGTTAAGAGCAAGAAAACTGGAATGTTTGGTTAATGTAACAACACGGAGGGCAATTTGGTCAGGAAAACAGAGGGTAGAGCATTGGCGAAAAAGGGGTCTACCTGTATTAATCTGAAGGTTCTGAAAGTGAAGCGGGGTTAGTGGGTCTGGGTCTAGTTCTGATTAAATTGGTCCAAAAACAGAAGAAATAAGATGTTTTTACAGTCCAGACTTTGTAAACACAAAGACTTACACATTAATCAGTGGCACAGTGCTCAGAAGGTGCAGAACTGAACGTACACTTTTAATCCTCCGAACCCCCTTCTCAGTCTGACTCTGTTTCTTTGTCAGTCCCATCCCATTTAATATCTGACAAATTCACCTCTCTTTTTCTAACAGAAGATACTCCTCAACCAACGTCGCCGTTTCCTTCGAGGAAAATCATTACTTTTAACTTTCTCTTGTAAATACCACCCGTGGTTATCGTGTTTATCAAAACTCAACTACAAAGTACAAACTAACATGTGCATTTCATTTTATTTTTGCTAAAATAAAAACTTATATAACGTGAAAATAATGATAGCTGCATGTTATTTGCAAAAAGAATGGTAAAGCTCAGTTGCAGTAACTGTAATTTTTCTTTTAAGTTTTTCCATGCCATCATTAATCAGAGAAGGATGGAGTGCAAACTTTGCTGCACAAACACGATTCCTGCAGGCCCATATCTTTCAATGATAAGAAAATTTTATCTCCCCACCCGTAAACTGCTGACGAGGAAAAGTAAAGATGATTTTAAACTTCAATATGAATTTCTGTTGCAATTATATTAAGATTACAATTAAAGTACAACATACAAGATTAAATTATAAACTGTATAATAGAAAATATGGGGAAACACATACTGCATGTATAAACACTGTAGTGATTGCCCAGAGTATGAGCACATTGCTCAGAAAGGAAGACATCTAAAATCCCAATGTGCATTTAACTTACTTTCCTATCTCAACCTAATCATCCTCAAAACCGGTATCTCCATTCATCTTATTGTCATCCTCCCTTACTTCATCATCACTGTCTTGCAGCTCAGCAGTTTTGTCTCTCATAGGACTGGAGGTTGTCTGCTTCCCGTATTGCTCATCATCATCGGATTCTGATAAAGCTCGTCTCCGTCGAAATGCCGATGATGAAAGCTGGATATAAAGTAAAATCTTAGCAATAAATCACTTAACAGTAATAACAAAGATTTACTAACTTTATCTCACCTAAAACTCAAGTGAAAGCAACTACGTAAAACGCTGAATTCACACAGACATAACTGATTCATGAGTAGACAAAACATTTTACTGAATGATATATACCTCCAGACATGGAATCCAAACAAGGACGATAGCGAAACTAGGGGTAATAAACAATGCGATAAAGCAGCAATGCATCCAACACTAGTGTGAATGCATCTAGCAACAAGATGAAACGAGTCAGGCTATATCAACTTAAATTCTTAACTAAAATTTTTATACAATTTTTTAACCAATGATCCATTGCAATCCAATGATTGTCAGAGGGAACTAAATGGTAGTTAATTTTTATGTAATCTCATCAATTTTTAAACCATTAGATTGTGATAAATAGATGGTTATGAATTAGTGCAACAGGTTGGCCCAGACACCCCCGGTCACCAAAAGAATAAAAATAAAAATTAGTGCAACAAGTTCAAGTTAAAAATTTAAGTTGATAAAGCCTAAGGGCAGAAACCATTTTCACAACGTTAACAGCAGAATGTGTTAATGTCACGATCATGATAACATGAAATTTAAAAGTGTAATAAGGTCCAGGAACCTTTTTTCATGTGCTCCATCGCATAAAGAATTGGAAGTCAATGACAAAAAAATAAATATAAAATGTTACCATCTCATCCTCGGCATCTGAATCTTCAAGTCCAGCTGCTGCAAGGCGATCTTGAGCATTTTCTCCTGCATCATCATCCTGATCGTTCATATGATGCGACTCCCTATAATTCATGTTGGCATCTTCATCATCTAGCTCTTCCGGATCATCCATCATGTCAGCTTCTGCATCAAGCGTATCATAACGTGACTTTGAGCTCTTGTCCTTCTTTCTCCTCTTTCCACCCTTTCTCCTTCTCTTCTCACTATGCCCACCTTCATCATCCTCATTTTCAGGCCTTTCCCGTCGCTTAGATGAGCTGCTCTTCCATTGCTCCTGAAAAGTTACACCAAGTTACTATCTAAAGAAGCTTCATCCTGAAGTAGTTTAACCATTGAATTGTTGAATACATCTGATACACCGTTAAGGTGTTAAAACATTTTTATGGGCATTAATTTTATTCTCAAGCACACGACAATAGAAAAGAATCTGCAGCTGAAAAGATATAGCATAAAGCCTTAGAACAAATGTGCAGGACAGATGGAGCTGCAAATTCAAATATCTTCAAGGTTTCTTAGAATACCTGGAGAAAATACTTAGCATTCCCAATATTCACTACAGCAAATAGTTTCTTCATCTTCTGCCATATATGTTACTTTTAAACCATTCAAAACAAAAAAAACCTTTATCGAAATCTCTCAACAACGAGGAAAACAAAAATATTGGAAAAAAGATTTTGGTTCACTTATCAACTCTTTCCACATGTGATATTTACATTACCACTGTTAGGACAATTATAAATCATGGGCAAGCTTCTTAATCACAATTAATTTTAGATTACTGGCACTGACTACCAATAAACTTGAAGATTTTAATGCCATATGCCATAATCAACAACACTTACCTTTACACGTTGAAAATGTTCTTCTTGTTGCCTCACTCGTTTTAGCTCATCCTCTTGTTTTCTCCTCTCCAACTGTTTCACCAAAAAATTGGTGACTCAATTTTCCTTTTTTTTTTTTTATAAGTTTCATCACTCATAAAAATAATCGATTTAGAAGGCATTAAGAAATTTCATACTAGCATACCAGGAATTTCTTTTGCTCTTCGGCCTTACGACGGGCTTCCTCAGCCAATGCAACCTGACGAGCAGCTTCTTGTCTCTGTCGAGTCTGTTGCTCCTCGCGCTCAGCTGCCTCACGGTGTACTTTTGCAGCATCTAGTAAGTGCTTGCAATACTCAACATGGGTGTTAATTTTCTTCTCATCAAACCCATGAAGGTGAAGATTAGAAGCAGCAGACAACTGACTAAATACACGAACAGCATTCTCCAACTCTGCAACTGTTGAACGCACCTATAATATATATCACAGAAACAAACTCGCAATAAGACAGCATTTACATACACACACAGAGAATAGTAAACTAAACGCAGAGAACATAGATTCCAGCATAATCTAATCCACGACATAATTTGGGATTTAAGCAAATAACCAATTTATTAATAATTATGTAACCATTACATTGGCAACATGAGCAACATGTAAACTACGTTGTAGAGCAAAAAGAATAAAGAAATAAAAAAAAATCTCCAGCCTTACAAGATATCATATATATACAAATACATAAATTAAAACTTTTTCCCTATTTATGCTCATTAAGATTTCCCAAAAGAAAAAAAATATGAGCAAATATCTGTCTCCCAGTCAAGAATTTAACAAAGTCATATTTACTATATTCTACAAATACATGATTTCTTGCACAACTTATTCACCACAAATCACAGTTAGTATGGATAAAGGATAGTAGTTGTCTATTGTCCGTCACTATTATTGTTATTATAAAAGGAAAAGATGATAGACGTCTATCAATGACAACCACCCAAAATCAGTTCTCCACTTTTAAGTGTCATATGCATAATCATATCACCTGTTTTCTTCACAAATTCAACCTACTTATTCCCTGATCAATTATTATCAAGTCCTAATATTGTGATGTTCAGATGTGCAATCATTCTTAACATACAGAGTCATGTATACCGCCTTTCATACACTGTATAACCATGTCAAATATGATGAAACACTTAAGAAGTGTTCTACAACAAAATTAACCTCACAAGCTTGGAAGCTACTCATATAAATGAGAAAAATCCAAAGGAAACTAAATAGCAAGAAAGACTCAGGAGAGAAAAGTCATCAAACAACCTCATCTGCTGTTCTCTTTGTCTTTTGTAGGGTGGATGCAGAAAACTTTTGCATTGCAACACCTGCATCAAACCTTAGTGTGTAATTTGAAGGAGCCAAATGGATAGCTCTTAGTAATGTTTTCTTGCAGTCTTGCCACTGTTCAGCTTCATAATGAGTACGAGCTAAATAGAGAAGAACTTGAGAGTCTGTATTGTGATAAAATTTCCGCAAGCAATTTTGATACTGCAAGTAGCACGTGTTATCAACTCATTATGCATGCATACAATAATAAAGAGAAATTTAAAAAAATATGAAACACAAATAAGACGGCACCATTTTCACAGCCAAAGCAAAATTTCCTTGTGCAAAATAAACATGCGCCAAATTTATCCACACATCGGGCATCTGGACAAAGACACTTCCACTTGCAGCTTCTTGAACCTACAATGATGAAAAACTCAATACAGCCCCAATAATTTAAAAACAACACAAATGAGAGAAAATTGTATGCTTACCTGTGTAAAGATATCTTTTGAAACATCAAAGTGGCCTTTTTCTGCCAAGACCACTCCAGCACCATTTGCAGCATAAAGATTGGATGTATGCTGCACCAGAACCTGAAATGATGAAGATATAAAATATTAGCTTCATAGATCACAGCACGCAAGATATCAATATCAATGCATTAAAAATATATTTAACTAGAAACACAAAAAAACTGAAGCTAGAAGCTAATGAGCATGAGAAATAAGAGGGTGAATGCTCAAGGAAGTTCTAGCAGAATCAAAGCAAAAACTGTTTCAGTCAGATACTAAAAGGCATATCAAAAGCTTGTTAATAAGAACACCAATGTCTCAGATTCCTCTTTTGTTGTTCATTTCTTCCTCTCATGAGATCTATCATTCTTTTCTCGTTACTATATTAAGTTACAATGAGAACTGTACCAGAGCTAAATCCAACTGAGGTTAAGAAGCCAAAAACCAAAAAAGGAAAAAAAAAAAAAAAAAAAAACCAGTCTACTCCTTTTCCACTTTTTACTATGAGTCATTTCTTTTATTCCCTATCATGATTATGGGCTCTTTCCTTGTTCAAAGAGAAGAATAGTTAATACCACTTACACTACAAACTGAAATAACATAAAACCGCCACAAACTCCAAAAACTACCATATACACCTTCTCCCATTAGATTTGGCCATTAATTTTAACTTCAATAAGGTTAAACTACGGTTTTGACATATTATAAATTTAAAAATAATTGAATTTTTTTTTTTTTAATTATTAGAAGGAAGTAAAAAATTTCAAAAATATGTTCATATATCTCAATATCAATCTATAAGCCCATCAAAACTTAAAATACCAAAATTGTAGTTGCAATTTGGCATCTTGTCTTAAGATTTGGGATTTTAGGTTAAGGTTTGTATTGTTTAGGTTTAGGAATCTCTTCAATTTTTCATAATTATACTGTTTTATCATTTAAAAGTGAATTTCTAAGAAAATTTAGAGTTGAATTGGGTAATCTAAATTGTATATACGAGGGTGAATTTTTAATTGTGACAGTTAGTAACAGTCTTATATGTTTAACAGCCCAAACTAACCGTAGAGGTTTATGTGGTAGTTTCTGTAGTTTGTGATGGTTGAGTGTATGCAGTATTAACCTAAGAAGAATATTATATGTGCATCCAAGATAGGGAAAAAAAATGTTAACATACAGCATCACATACTTTCCTACTGTATAAACTATATCTAAATCCTTCAGCTTTATATAAAAATTCAACCTTTGCTTCTCTTAAATATCCCTACAGCAAATATGACAAACAAAACACAGTAAAATTATTTGATTATACAATAACAACTGCCTTGTTTTTATGTGGTTTTGTATTAATTTTAAGCACTTCATTGTTGTGTTCTGTTACATATCAGCTGTTTTGATCTTAGCAATGAACTACCAGATCTCTTTTATTGTACCTCAATTTTGGTAAAATTAATAAAACTTTCTTTTCTTGCTAGAGAGAAAGAAAGACAATGGTAACCTTACTACAATTGTATCAAAATCATGGTTGGACTGAAAGCAGAAGAGATAGAGATTTCTTAGTTACCAGATGTTAATCCCCACAAAAACTATTGAAGCATAAGCACATTTTTTAAGGGGAAAAAGAGAAAATTAAATCATACTCTGGTGTAGAGTTCCTTTGCTTTTTCCAAATGGGTTGCTTCCAACTTAGGGGCTCGTTTTTCATTGCGAAGAGCAGCATAGTAGTTCCAGTTCCCCTTCACAACATCAAACAAGCAAATGAGATGGATGTTAAGCTAATAGGTAATGGTTTTAAGTAATAAAGCAAACTTTTCATAATCATAATGAGTTGGATATAAACAAAAGAAAGGTTAATGATCCGCAAAAGCATCATCCATATGAACTGACAGAGCAGCAAAAGTCACTGCTTTAAAAATTAATATCAAGACATGTCAAAGGAAACAAAATTATTCCCCTGTTGAACAATATACGTACCAGAGAAAGAGTAGAGTAAGATTCCTTCCCCTCAGTTGCATCACTGGCAGCACGGAAAGTTTCTTTTGCCTTAACCCAGTCATCATTTTTAAGTTCCAAGTCACCAAGCATAGATAATGCATTTGGGTGCTTGCCATTCACCTTCAAAACCTCATTAACCTATGAGGAAAGGAATCATATCATTGTAATCATATCATTGTTAATACACACATCAGTCTCTAACAATCTATATATCAAAAATAAATGATGGGGGATGTGAGCCTAATAACAACCAGTTCAATGCTTAGTTGAAGATTATTCCGAGCTTTAGCAATTGCAGCAAGCCTCAGATAAGCATCTCCATAGTCTGGATACTGTAAAAATAATAATCATCAATAAAACTAAACAAATAAAACAAGAGCAACCTGCATAGCAAAATACTTCAACACAACACGAAGCATCAAAAGTAGTCTTAAAGAGTTCATATTTTCTCTCAGTCTCTCAAACAACATTCATAAAAATGACCAGATTGATGAAAAAGATCATTCTTGGAAGAAACATACAACCATTTCTTAAGCAATGTCAACTGACTGCTTTGATCAATGGACTGCTTTAAATCCTACTACTGTACTAATGTGCTTGCAGGATGGAACAGACAAATAAAATCAAGGACAAAGGAGATGTTTGAGCACATATATACCTACCTTAAACAATATCAAACGGTACAATATGCTTGCAGCTTCTGAGTTATGTAACAGCTCAAGTAATCTGGCCAGGTTAAATAACACAGTGACCTTATTCCATGGTAGTTCCACAATATGACCATCTTCCTCAAGTCGATGATATAATTGTGTGTCCTTGTATTGAAAAATAGATGCACTAGCATCAACAGAGTAGGTGTTCACTTTATTATCAAGCAAAGTAAGCCATATGCCATTGCCTAGAGCATCCTTGAAACTTAGTTCAGCCGACTGAAAAATAAAAACATCAAAATAATCTGCTGTCAGTTATAATAAATCGAATTTTCGTGGTGGAAAGAAAACAAGCACACTCATTCAAGAACAAGGTAATGCTTATTATACAATCCAAACAGTTCTAAAGAGTATCTGTACTATATCAACCAAGTAAAAGGAAAACTGCACAAACCTCAAACTCTTCCTTTTCAAAATGTAAAACTCCAATATTATTCAGCACTTCTATTGGGACTTCTTGACCCCCCTTTTTCATAAGAGTTCGTGCCTATAAATATACCAAGGATAAAACAATACAGATACAAGAACTTTACGAGAAAAGTTTTAATTCAGTATTAGAAATACCAAATTGGCAATTTAGAATTGAGTGCAGAAAAGGGCTTACAGTTTTAAAGGCATCAAGAGCAGCGCTGGTGTCAGAGGAAATCAATAGTTCCCCCATATCAATAAAAGCCTGTATATAATTAATTGAATTGTTTCAGGAGGAATAAAAAACATAATGGAAATACTACAAAAACAGAATATATTTAGGTTTATGCATTCCAATCATTTCTACAAGTATAAAACTTGGGGGATATTGTAATATAAATCATGTTACACTGATATGGAAAATCCTCATGAACCTCCTTTAAAATTTGTCAGAGATCTCCGTTTAAATTTCATAACTATCAGATTAGGAGAGATTGCCAATGAAGAACTAAACTACTTGGGCCCAGTTGGTATTTTCATCAAATCTCAATGAAATGATCCTAATAAACTATGAAAGAGAATTCCAAATAAAGGTCAAAGCAAGAGCATAACTTATGCTTCAAGGTGAGCATTTCCAAGAAAAAGAACCAGATTGAACAACAAAAGGACTTATTGACCATGGAATAGAAAAACAGGATCTTTATATAATATACACCCTCAATAAACTATGGTAAATTTATCTGTAGGCCAAGTTAAAAAGGAGGCAACAAATTCCACTTAAGACACAACAGGATATCAGTAGAATGGTAAGGTTAACGATGCACACAACTTAAATAGCTTCTAATAGGTTAAAGTTGCAACAAGCCACTCAGCTTCAAATTGTTGATGCTCCTGTGTACTGCAATTATCTTTTTTTATCTTTTAATTCGTACATTTAAAAAGCAAGGTCAACCTCAACCCACCCATCCCATGCAACTTGCAATCAATATTAGTAGGAGCAGATTCAATGTCTCCCATTCCACTGAAATTCATCAAACTTGAAGCTTAAAAAGTTCATTATCATGTGTTGCAGTCAGTATAAAAGATGGCTGTTAACTCGTTCTAAAAGCATTATGAGCCAAAGTCATCTTAGCATGATAAAGAGAGAAGGGATTCCAAGTGATCACTGCACCACCAGTGAGATCCTTCATTGGAAACAATATCTTCAATAGCTTCAAAACTAGGTTATGCGTAACGGTCATTACACATGAAAATTGCAACATTGATCAAGCAACAGTATAAATTACCTGAGCATCCCGTGGATCAATTTTTGCAGCCTTCCTCATTAATTCCTGGGCCTTCTCAACCTGTCCAAGCTGAACATATATGTGACCGAGAGCCTGCAAGACAACAGAAAATCAATCCAATCAAAATCAAAACCAAAGTTCAAATAACTAAATCAGATTTACAAGTGATAAACAAAGGGAAACTCTCCATAGTATAACTCACTTTCAATGTCTCACAATTATCAGGGTAAATCTCCAAAACTTTTTCAAAGTTTGTAAGCGCACTTCTGAAATCTCCAAGCTTCAGTTGTACTTGTCCCAAACCTGCACCAAACAACAAAAATTGTAGAGCACTAGAAAAAATGAAAAGGCCCACATTATAATGATGTTGTGATCATTGGCTGAAATTAATACAATTGAATTGATTAATATCATGAAAAGGGACTGAATACCATTATAAATATCAGTCATCAGAATATAATCCAAATACAGTAAACATAGAAAATCTGAAACTAAATGTTAAAGGGTCTGAAGTCCAAAACAAGCTAGCATCCTCAGGTATAAATCGTGAGGCATTCAGCAAACATATCAGTTTATCAGTTGAAAAGAAAACGATTTTTACAAATATCGGAAGACTTCATCCCTAAAGTAGACCAACTCTGGAAAATTACACCAAATAGAAGATTAAAAGAAACAAAAAAGAAAAGCATCAAGGAAGATGAGGTAAAATAACTATCTGTAGAGGCACAAACTAATGTATGAATCTTATTATCAACTTAATTTTTTAAATTATCATGTTTAAGTATTTAATACATAGGATAGTCACTCTTAATAACAACAAATCAGCACCTGGTTGTTGTGAGCAGTTGTTATACAATTTCCTAAGTTTCAGGAATTTGTGGTTCATATGAAACTTTCAACTAATAAAATTTCAATAACTAGTTCTAAACTAGTAAAACAGGTTATTTTATTAACTTGGTCTGAACCTACCCCTCCAAATTTAGGAAATTTTTGGTAAAAAGTATAGTTGCTATGCCAATGCATATCAGAAATTATGATAAACAGTATATAACCCATATAGAATGAGATGATTACTGACCATAATAAGGAAATATAAACTCGTGGGGCTTATTGATTTCTTTGACAGATGCCATGTAGTAGAGCCCAGCTTTTTCATAATCCCCCTACAGTCAACAAAAATGACAACACTGCATTCAGCAGTCAGAAAGGCCAAAATCAACACAGGTGATTAGGCATGGCAGACTAAACAAATGATATTTGAGATATACTGGATGAAGAAGAAGCAAAGAAAAACTTAAAAAAATCAGAGAGAGAGCAAGGAGTGTGTAAAATAGAAGTACAAATGATTAATACCTTTTCTTAAAATCACTTGCTAAACATTAAAGCAAATGAAACAATTTAAAACTCAATAAAATTGTTAATGGAGACCATAGATGCATCTAAATTTCTAGTTCAAGACCTGATCATCTTTCTCAGGCCCGAGGCTACTAATATCAATAATCAGTGCATATTTGGGCCATCAAGTCATAGTTCTTTAACTACAGATAACTGTCAATAGGAGGCAAAGTGGCATGTAGAAAAGATAATTTTGGAAAGATTTCCAGAATAAGTTACAGGAATTGGAATAAGATTTCTAGTTATGACTGCATGGATTATACAAATGGGAGTTTTAAGTACATAGAAGTCACTTGGATGGCTTGATTTATTTACATTTATATCAACCTAGTATATTATGGGAGTGAAATCAAATTCAGAAAGAAAGAGACCATATAGCACCATATAGAAAAACCTACTTAAAATTGTATCATAATGAAATTCCAAACCTTGCTGTGATAAGATCGAGCTAAATTATAGTAAGAATGTGACTTTGTTGGCCCATGATTAGTCACAGCAAGTGCTGTTTCAGTCAGTTGCTCAACTAAGAAATGTTGACCCGTGAAGAAAAAGTGATTGGCCAGATAATTCAGAGACATTGCACAGTAGGGGTATATCTCAAAAGCTCTCTGCATTTTTTCCATTCCACTCCTGATCCCAGTAGCTGAGTAGACATGATATAGCATCAGAATTAAGAGAATAAATATGCAGAGTTAGATTGTTAAAAATAAAGTATTGTTAGAAAATAATCCATAAACTCAATAGTATGATAAACCCAAATCTATTCACCTTCATTTGCATGTAAATCCATAATAGCAAGTGCAACAAGAGCCTCAACATTCTCTGGATCTAACTGCAAGTGCAAAATTGTGAAACATAAAGAAACAGCATCAGTAATAAATTTGAAGGTACAGCAGCCAATTGCAACATATTCAACATATAAACAATTAGTTAAAACGTTACCTGCAAAGACCGCTGAAATGCCTGTCGAGCTTTCTCAAATTGTCCCAATTTATAGCGACAAAGACCAATTCCAAGTCTCACTGCTCCAGGACAATCAGGATAGACTAGCAAGGCCCTCTTACAAAAAGTCATACAACATGAATTAACAGAAATGTTAACATTCGAGTTGATGACTAAAAGCATTCTTTCAAATAGTACATATCTGATATTAGATAGGCTGTTGGTCATGAGCCCTGCCAATTTACTTTTAGATGTTAAATAGTGCAGGTTGTGAGAGTATGTGTTAGTTTATATGGCATACACTGAGATGAAAACAACTAACCTTATACATCTCTAATGAATCAGTATAGCGTCCACGATTAAACTCAACGCATGCCTGCACGCATTAGAGTGAATTATTTACAGCAGAAAACAGAACAAAGTTACTGAAGCTTTAATTTCTTCACTATGCATAAAAAACAAAATTTTTTCAAGTAGTTTAATATTGCCACCGGAGGATACTATTGTAACAAAATTTAAATTGATAGCAGAGCTGTAATGTCTAACTACAAACATAATTGCTTCGACACAAAGAACCGTTCAATTTACCTGACCCAGAAGAGCAGGGACATTATCACGATCTGCCTCTAACACAATTTTAAATGCACTTGATGCCTGTTCTACTTCACCCTTAGCCAGTAAAAGTTGACCTACAGATAACAAACATGATTTTAAATTTTGAGTACATTGTCAGTCCAAACCCAAAATATGACTCACTCTTTAACTAAAAACAACTACTGAACCATGAAATTTGGTTGAACAATCTTGAATCTTCCAAAACACTCATTTCAAGAGAAAGTATAAAACATCCTATAGATGTGAAATTGTATACCATATATCATCAGCCAAGTTTCAATCAGTCAAAGAGGTTAAACCATACAAAGGACTAAGAAGCATATATTTAGAAAAACAAATTGAATATAAAGAAATAACTCTCTGAATAAATGCAATTTGAATAAGAAGATCACCATCCACTAAAGTAGATCCACAATAAAATTTATCCAATATGACTTCTAACTAAAGAAAGGATGTTCCACCAAACAACTGTAGCAAAGAAAACCAACAAATGAGACCTATTTTAAACTCTTAAGCACTACAACTGGAGTCACTAGAATGTCTGCACAAAAAGTAAAGGTTAGCTTTGCTCCAGTCTTTAAGAGGTTATCCAGCAAAATGGTTCAGATAAAAAGTGTGATTCAACAAAATATCTAGCAGAAATTCCAGCGACCAAATGAAAAATCAATGAGCTTAAAGTAGCAAGCCAGTTCAGCTTTACTTAAACATATATGATAGTATAAAGAATCCCAACAACTCTCACCTTTCCCAACCCAAGTAGAAGGTTCATGCATGTCGATTCTCGATGCTTTATTGTAATATTGTGTTGCCAGAATAAAATGCTCCTCCTTTTCTCTTTGTTTTGTCTCAATTTTCCCAAGGTAGGTGTAATAAGCCCCTAAAGCATTTAGGATGGCAATTCTCTCATATCTTACATCAGCATAATATTCATCAATTTCTGCCAGAAAGGGAAAAAGATGCAGAATAATCACTCAAGGAAAAAACATGTTTAATTTCTACAACAATAAATGACGGCACAAACCAAGCACAGCCTATTTAGTACCACGCACATTTATATTTATTTTAGAAACCAAACACATTAAGTTAACCAAATTATAAGTAAAAGAGTGCCAATTTGCAATAGAAAAAAGAATACCAGGACTAGACCCTTCCTCCAAAATTTGACGAAATTGTTCTACTTTTCCTTGTTTGAAGTACTCCCTCTGCAAGATGAAACGTTAAAATCAAAATATTTCATTGTTAATCATTTCTTGGAATGGAGCTTTCCACACCACTACACCAAACATCACAGCTTTACTACATAACATTCAGAAACAAAATCAACCAAAAATTTATCTAACTCAACAAATTGATCCGAAACCTAATACACATTGCCTCGCTCATTAACAGTCACCACGAAACAACTATTATCAGACAAAGCAAAATATGCTTCACAGAACACTTATAAAACTGTGCCCTAAATTTTTATAAGCAAAAACATTGCTCAAATTAAAAACAGGAATCACGAGATACAGCGCAGCGCTAATATACAAAAAAAAAAAAAAAACGAACCGCGATGATGAGCCAGAGATCGAGAGGGGCTTGCTCGGCCTTGAGAATGTCGAGTATATCGGAGGCGTCTCTAGGGAGCTGATCCAGCGCCACTCTGACCTCCTCCTCCGAGTTCTGCACCGGTATGTATACGCACGCCATTGATTTTGATCTCAACAACCAAATTTGCTCCCAAATAAAAACCTAACCTAACTTCGAGTGTTTATCTTCTTTCAGGTATCTGTATTTGAATAGATACCATATTGCAGTGAACAGAGATTTGAATAAAACTTGCCTTCTTCTTTTCTTTAGTGAAGTTTATTATAACGGCTGTAAGTTTTTTTTTTTTTTTGGATGTGGACTTACATTTTGTTATTTTGCGGTTTTATCTATTGACTTCTTATTGTTTTGACGGGTTTAAAACAATCACCTCCCCTGTGGTTTTCAAATTTACACTTGGTCTCTTAGTTATGGGAATTACGTAACCACCTCCCCTACTATTGGTTATTTCCGTTAAAACGAAGTGTTGGCCGATTTTGACTTGTCGATGACCAAACACCCCTAAAAGTAAGTTTCTACAAAATTAAGAAAAATATATAAAGTTGTAAAAAAAAATAACTTAACATAAAAAATTCAATAAAATTACTTAAAACATAAGGATTTTAAAAAAAAATTAAAAAACCCAAATATATATAAATTTTATGAAAAAAATTTAACTTAGTAGCTTTGTGATTATTTTTTCCAAAATTTTTAATGATTTGAATTTTTTTTTATGAATTTAATGTAATTTTAAAATTTTTTGGAAATTTTTTAAAATTGTAGCTTTTCTTTTAAATGTTTGAAAAGCTTTTTATAAAGGTCATGTTAAGTCCGGGCAAATTTCACTAACTACCCTCAAGGTTTCCCATAAATACATGCATGTAGATACTATTGCATTATTAATTTTTCATATAAACCAAATTTAAAAACAAATAAAATATAAAATAATATTTTTAAGAAATTAAAAACTTGTTAAAACCTAACCAAACCAACAGGAAATAAACCAAATTTATTAAAACGTAAAAAAAAAAAAAAAAAAAAGCAAAACCACCCACTAGTGAGTAACCTAGTGACGAGCGGCAGAATGGTTTTCGCCTAAGCTGGAGATCTATGGATCGAATTCCCACTTAGGCCGTTACGTATTACCTAGGGGATTGTGGTGGTGGGGTCCTATAGTCTGCCTCCAACGACTAGCCGGTTCGGCTTGTAATGAACCTTGAGGACGATTAGTGATCGGTTCCATATGTATGTGGAGTTCTTTTTCACATAGTATTGAGTTTTGTGGGAGGTGGGGGGAGTGTGATGGGGGACAAGTGGGACAAGTGCCGTTATCAGGTTTAAGGAATTTTTGTTTTAAAAAATATTTATCTTGTAAATTATCAATTTTTATATTACTTATGTAAAAATAAATAAATCGTAATTTCTTTATTTAGCTAGGGCATGATAGTCATTTACTTGTGCACTCACCATCTTAAACGATAAAATAGTAAAATTTCCTGCAACTGTTAAAGCTTTTTTTGACGGCTTTTTTTGACGGTGTTAGCCATAAGAATGCTAAGTGTTAATTTTTTCAATAATTTTATAATAATGCTAGATGTACAAACTCTTTCATACAAACCAATGTGTCATAAAACGAATGGATGAATGCACATAAAAAGTCAACTTATTAAATCTCAACAAATTAGATGAATGATGTGTCAATTAAAGAGCATTGTTTTGTATATTTAGTTTGTACATGAAGCACCACTCATAATTTTATGTCTAAATGCATAATAATGCAATGGTATGTACTAGGGCTATAAATGAGCCGAGTCAAGCGGAGTATCACCCTAAACGAGTTTGACTCGATTAAGCATTAAACGAGTTCGAGCCAAGTCACGAGTTAGTCGAGTTAGGAAAATTCGACTCGTGACCCGACTTGTTTATAATCGAGCCGGTTCGTGACTCGACTCGAACTCGTTTGACTCAACTTGAAAAGCTCGATTATGACTCGATTAACTCGAGCTCGAACTTGCTTGATTATGGCTCGATTACGGCTCATTTGGCCCATTTTTTATATAATCCGTAGATCTTGTTTTATACAAATCAGATCCAATTTTTTGTAAATTTACATCCAAATCAATATAAATCACATCCAAATCAACAAAAACCACATCCAAATCAACAATGTATTGCACAACAAATTATAAAATCCTAAAACTTTAATTGGGGTTTGGGTTAATATGCAACATTTTAAAACTTTTACATGTCAAATTACAAGGCAGACCTAAAACTTTTATTTTTTTTGTAGAAAAACCCTAAACGAGCCACTATTAACTCACGAGCCGAATCGAGCAGAGTCGTGGTAGACTCGAACTCAGCTCGGTACCTAATTCAAGTATTATTCGAGTCGGCTCAGCTCGATTATAATCAAGCTGAGTTCGAGTATTTAATGAGCCAAGCGGCTTGGCTCCGTTGACACCCCTAGTATGTACGAGCCTGTATTTATGGGAAACCTTAAAGAGCAGTTAGTGAAACCCTTATTGTGACACTGAAACAACTTTTCTTGATTTTGTATTGTTTTTTAACAAATATTTTAGTAAAATTGAATAATATAACAACTAAATTAGAAATGTAAGATGTGGTAAAAGTTGATAAATTAAACAAAGAATTATAACAAACCAATTATTAAAAAAAGAAATTATTTTAAATGAATTTGATTTTTTGTACAAGAATGGTCCGAAATTTCATTTTCAAATATTAGAAAAGATTTATCTTGTCCCTTGTCAAGTAAATGAATACTTATATACTACAGTGAACTAGATTGCGGTTGGTATACTTTTCACACTTTATTCTATTATATTATCCTATCCAATCTAGTGAAAAACGTGTTTGTTTTAATATTGACTGTTCAATTCAAAATTCAATCTCATTCTATTTAACTCAAAACATTTAACAATAACCTTTTACAATCAAAATTTATAAATTAACAAAAACACCCCCACCCACCTAAGCCACTGTCACCCACCAGTAGTTGTCGACGCCGAAACGATGCACTACTGGCTGGATATAGCCGGTTGTGTGCCGATCTTGTCTTTTTCGACCAGATCTACAGCCAGAAATCTGGCCATTGACAATCAGATCTGCCCATTGTTGATGGCTAGATTTTGGCCGTTAACAATGGCCAAATTCTAGCCATAGATTTGGCCTTTTTCGGCAAGATCCACGGTGGATCTGGTCGAAAAAGGCAAGATCGACCATATCCAGCTGATCGTGCATCATTTTGGCGATTGACAGCCACCATTCAGTGGTGGTAGCCGGCTGTCGGAAGTCAATTGGGAGGGTGGGGGTGTTTTTGTTCATTTATAAACTTTTATTTGAGGGGTGTTTAGCTAAATTAACGAATATAAGGGGTTAAAAAATAATCTAAATATTTTCAGAAACAGTTTTTCAATAATATACCAAACACATTCTCATAATTCTATCATAAAATGTATTCAGAATAGGATTTTAGAAATCCTATTAAAAAAAGTGTACCAAATGCAACCAAAACATTTTAAGTTGTATTTCCTAATTTAAAATGTAAAGCAATAACATCACTGGGATACTTAACGGTGATTATATATTCATTTAAAACTTGTAAATCAACTAATTTAACAATACATTTTAAGTTGTGCTTTCTCATTTAAGAAATGAAAACATATGGGACTTTATTGTTTATGCCAAACTTTAGGGACCATAATCTAATTTATTTGAACAACAAAGGCATCAACAAGTTCCTTTGTCACCTTATAAAAGGACCCCTTGTGTGAAATAAAAGTATTCCATGAGATAAGTCATATAAATGAATTAGCTAGTGATGCGTGATTTTGACACCAACAAAATATGCATGTGAAAATTGTTATGAATCTACAAGTGAGGTATTTATGATGCAGTGATAATATATGTTTAAGGAAACATGAAATAAAATATTGAAAAAAGAGATTTTTAGAGTGGTTCGGATATTGTAAGCAAGTCTTACGTTTACTGTTATTTTATTATTCTCTGACTATTTTTTTATAACATCTGTACGTATAAAAATATAATAATGTTTTGTTTATAAAGAAAAATAATGGCTTAAGCTCGAATGTGTACCCAACGCTTATCTCTCTAGGCCCCCGTTTAATGTGTATCAATGGTCTACTCCAGCTTTTTAAATGAAATGATTATCTGCTTGCTGGCTTAAAGAAATCATAACGCATAGCAATTGTTTCTTCCTCAAATTATGATGACTTTAATGGTCTGCTTGGGAGTTTCATGGTAGCGGTTATGAGGGTAAACCACTGTAGCGGTTTTGAGAGTAAACCATCGTAGCGGTTTTGAGGGGTTTTTAGTAACGGTTTTTAAAACACCCAACCTGTGAGGTTTATTTTCCAGCGGTTCTGAAAGTTTTTTTAAAATGATAAATTTACATGTATGCCCCATAAAAATACCTCAACTTCAACCAGTACTTGAGAGTTTTTTTTTTCAATTACCAATACTTAGTATCAAAGTTCCTTCCAAGTTTAATTTATTTGTAAGTTTTTTCATTGTATATTATTTAATTTATTTGTATGTTCTCACTAAAATATGTAATTTAGTTGATGACATTCGTTATGGTGGCACAATTAGTATACTCGGTAATTTGACTTCCACTCAACAACTAGATTTGCTGAAAATATATGCAAAAGAAGCCAAATTGAGCTTCCCACATTATCTGGGTTTTCTATTGAATAACCCAATTCATATCCAAGAACAGCAAACTCTGAAAGAGAACTGTTCATAAAAATAAATAGTTTGAATATAAGCAACCAAAATTGAAGCAAAAATTTCAAGAATTATCACATGTTTAAGGAGATATAGGTGCATTTTTAACTGCCTCAAGCAGAGAGACTATTTTCTACCAAAATATACTCTGCCCAACATCAGTAACAACGTGGTTTCTCATCTTCACTAGAATAGAGTAGATTTTTTCATAAGAAATTTATAGGATGCAAAAACTGCACTCATAACATCGTGTAAACCTCATCCCATGCCTGCCTGTTTTGAGGGATAAAAATAAACAGTCTGGGTAGGTGTAAGCAATGCAACACAACCATGGAGGCAATAGTACCATTAACTACAATCTCTGTAATAAATCTGCAAGTGAACTGTTGAAAGCACAAAAACTCAAATGTGATTAATTTTACCACCAACTGAAAACCTAATTAAAAAGAATAACCTATTGCAAATCTAGGGCAAA